GTCATATTTTGGCTCTCTTGGACTTGTTTTGATTTTCTTCAGCAAAGTGTGATGAAGAAAGCAGATGGTGCCCAGCTATCAATCAGAATAGTGTCTGGGACCTTAAAGGCTTGGATTCAAACAAGCAGCCATCTAAGTGACAAGTCATCTAAGTCCACACAGAAGAAGCACACCAGCTTGTGTGATCCAAAGATGGCAATTATAAATCTCGAATACAGTGAGGAGAAAAGCATCACAGCAAAAATCATGAACACCCAATGTGTGGGGTGCTATGGGGGATGGGGAGAGCCCAAAACCCATCTGCAGAGTATCTGGTCAGACTGGGCCACTGGCAGATCCGCTCTAGCCACAAGCAAGAGTCTCCATCAGCCTTACTACCAGTCAGGGACCATTGTCATCCTGATTATGCTGGACCAAACTCGACACTTGGCCTATTGACCACCCTGTAGACATGACTTGAACTTGTTCTGGCTGCAAGTATTTCGTACTAGTTCCATGACCGAAATATTTTTCCTGAGTTTTTTATCATTGTTGGTGGTCTTTTCTTTGTTACACATTACTAAGTATTTTTGTCTGTGTGCTATTATTTTACCCTTACCACCTGGGCGTGATTTTGTTTGTTTTGTTGGGTGTCCCAGCTGTGAAGCACAGGAGTGGATGCATGAGAATACGGGATACAGGGATATAGAGATCACAGGGCTGGGAGGGGAAGATGGGGAGGGAAAGGGTGTTTCTGGAGTAACTAATGAAGATGAAGAGGGGAGATGGGAGGGGAGATGGAGCACTAGAACGGATTGTGATTGCATAAATCATCTTAAAGACGATTTAACTATGGGGGTGGTAATGCTATGAAATTAGTGTGGGGATGATTGTACAAGTCTCCGTGATATGATTGAATGATCGAACTATTGAATAATAGGATATGTATTTTGAGTAATATATGTAAGTTACTTGCCAATAAAACTGTTGGGGGGGGGGATCTCACTTCCTTTACTGGAGGATCTCAGTATAAAATGCCCTTGTTTTGAGCACAATTGGCTTCAAGAAACCAATAATGAATTGAAATGTATAAAAAAATTAATGAATACATATGTATATATATATGTGATATATGATACGTTTATATGTATATAGGGTGTATGTGTGTGTGTGTGTGTGTGTGTGTGTTGTGTGTGTGTGAGAGAGAGACAGAGAGAGAGAGAGAGAGAAGTCCTAATCTATGTACCTGCTTGGAAAAATAGCTAATTCTTTGAAGATGTTATCATTTAAATTAAATAAAGTCATACTGCAGTAAGGTGTCTTAATCCTAATCGCTTCTGAGTGGTGTTTTATGGGAACAGAACCGCACAAAAGAGTAAAGACCATGTAAAGATGTGTCCACAAGCAGCTAAGGAATGTCAAGCAGCCATAGAAACTAGAAGAGAGGCATGGGTCAGTTCTTCCGTGAAGTTTCAGAAGGACTGTATCTGGTTGATATCTAGCCGCCAGAATTGAAATTTTTTATCTCTGTAAATACAACTTTGTGGTATTTTGTTATGATAACCCTAGGAAGCAACGGCTGAAATGTGTAAAGGATGTTGGCATACGTTAAAGCAGTATTACACTGGTCTAAGGTTATCTGCAGGTGAGACTGATGTAGAACCAGTATCAGGCATTTTGAAGGTAAATACCTGTTGAGCTTCCAGCTCTGATTCTCCATTCTCCTGTTGTTTAGTGACACCAGGTAAGGCCTCAAAATAGCTGTCCAAATATTGTTATGTGCCTGTGACCTTAAAAGCTCCACCAACCACTAACCCACCCAGGGGGAGAGTAGTGGTTGTGTCTCCACGAATTGGAATGTGCATAGACCCCCACCATGATGCGCCAAACCAGGAGGGCAACATAACACGTGGAGGAATCCATGAAAAGACTGGACTACAGGGCCGGCCCCAACCAGAGCCAGCCTGACCCCCACCCTGGAAGTGTGTGCCACAGAGAACGACACCAGACCTTCTGGTGGGGGAAAGGAACCGACCTACCATACCCAGACGGAAGCAGAAGTAAATGAAGGGGGAGGAAGAGAGTGGAGCACATCCTGGCCCACCAAGCCCTAAGAATGATATTCCCACTCAGAGCAGCCAGAGGACCATATGAGACACGACATCCCGCACTGACCCATAGCTTTACAGGGGACAACAATGGAGACACAGTGTGGAAATTGCACCCAATCTGACCCCACCACACTGAGGCAAAACACTAAGGGTGTGCAACAGAACAGCAAGGGGAGCAGAGCCAGGAAGTCCCGAGGGAATACCAAATAGACTTTGGGGCCAAGGTGTGACATCTCATCAGATTCTACCAGAAAACACTCCTATCGGTCAACAAACAGTCCTTGAACTATTTGTAGGCTTTTTTTTTTTTT